GGTGGTGGTTGCAACAACAGTGAACGAAGCAGGCCAAATCAGGGAGTCTACCCAGCAGGGAGTCTACCTAGCAGGGAGTCTACCCAGCAAGATTACGTAAGCAATGCAGGCAAAAAAAAAAGTTGTTTATGATTTTGATATTTTTAAAAATACACGAAGTTATAAAAAAAAACAAAACAAAATATTTTGTTGTACATCTTTGAAAGATCTACAACCCTATATTTTTTATTCTTTTTTTCTGTTTTTTTTTTAGCCCTTAAAAATTCTTTGTAACACCAAAAAAAAAAAGACTCATGTCATTTCTTGTTTTTGTTTTTTTCATTGTGCTTACGTTTTTGATTTTTTTTAAATATATTAAAAGCTCAAAAAATAAAAATAAAAATATGGGGTCGTAAACCTCAAAAAGATCTACGACCCCATTTTTTTTTATTTTTTTTTTTTGATTATGTTTTGCCTAGGAAACAAATCATTGTGGACCCCGTTTTTCGCCGTCCAACGCGCGTTCGAACGGGAGTTGAATGCGAATTCAGCGCGCGTTCAATAATTCAACGCGGAACCTGCGTTGAATCCAAAATCGGACACACAGCTCATAGATTCACTCCTATCAAAGAGAAGAGAGAGAGAGAGAAACAAACGTCGTGACACATCATTATTCCGAAGTAGAGAAGAGAAGGGGGAGATGAGGGAGGAGAGTCGAGATAGGGGATGATCAGATCTGGAAGGACATTCGGCGTAGCCGCCGCATACTCACGCCGAAGACAAAGATCCGCAACAACAAAGGCGCATTCGCCATTAATTCCAATATGGCCCCGGGCCAATCATTCACTCAACTCCACTTATCGATCCTCATACCCGCACCGACGATCCCGGCCGTCGCGTGCTAACTCCCACCATTGCGATCGTCACCCCGCTGTCGTAAACTCGACACGGTTCGCCCGGATCCCACAGTCTGTCATGGCGATTAAGCGCGCAACCGGCCAGCCTATCGTCAACCCGACAGGACTTTCCGACTCGCATCAACCCACTCTGCCTAGCCACTGCTTCCTGGAAGCTGGCTCAGGAGTCGAGAACGTAAGAGAGCTTTGCGGTCGCGCTTGCGGGTTTTATAGTTGCGACAAGGGAGATAGAAGGGGGAGAAAGCGAAGGGAAAGCTGAGGGGTGAAAGGAGAAGCAGGAGGAGAAGACTTTGAGAAGAGTGTTCTGCGAGCGCCATGTTGATCCCTCGGAACTCGAAGTTCAACCAATCAGATTCGTCGCGCAATAGGAGGGTCCTATTGATCCACGCACCTGATTGGCGAGCGGGAGTTGTCGATGGATCGCCCGGGTGTCGTGCGCCAGACTCAGAGGGTGAGAAGAGAAAAGGCGCAAGACGGGTCCAAGATTCAGACGATCAAGAAGGGAAATGGGCGCGCAAAAGCAAGGCGGGAGGGAGAGAGAGAGAGAAGGAAAACAGTTACGGGGAGAGAGAAAAAGGAGGGAGAAGGGAAAGGAGGCGCGGGAGGGAGCGGTGCGGGGGACGGGGAGGAGAAAGCTTGCATACGCGGCGTCGTCAACAAAAAAAAGAGAAAAAGGCACCGAAACAGTTGACCGATGGATTCTATGCGCACGTTCAATCTAGGAATCGAACACGCAACCTATGGCTTACCAGGCAGAACACCTAACCAATAGGCTAGTAAATGAGCTGAGCGCAGACACAGTTAACCAAAATTAAATGGGCCGTGGTAAAAGTGGACACAGCTAACCACTAGGCTAAGTAAATGGGCTGTGGTAAAAGTGGACACAGCTAACCAATATGCTACGTAAATGGGCTGTGGTAAAAGTAGACACAGCTAACCAATAGGCTAAGTAAATGGGCTGTGGTAAAAAGCAGTGGACACAGCTAACCAATAGTCTAAGTAAATGGGCCGTGGTAAAAAG